ACACGTGATATAAGAACAAATGTGGGGGTTGCGAGCTCTATCAAGCGCTTCTGATGTCGACTCTGCTGGCTCAACTCGAAAGGTTCAACCCTTTGCAGGACCGCGCAAAAAGAAGTTCTCAAAGCCACCGGTCCGGAGCACTCCCTCGAGCCTCGCTCTCGCCTTCTCCGCCTCCACTCACAGATGCTGCTTACGAGACGCACTGCCGTCGTTTCAGATGACGAGGCCGAAGGAAATGCCACAAGGGGGTGCTGGTCTATCCTGTCATCGAACAGTGAGGACTGGTCGGGTTCTCATCACTCCTCCTCCTCAATCCAGGAATCTGGCCGGACTCATGCTGGAGTGGACGCTAAAATGATGTGCCTAATGCCTCTGACTCTTAAACAACTCGGGGTTGATTGTTCGTCGCCTCGAAATCAGTACTCCAATCAAAAGAGCCCTTCTGATATTTTAAAAGCCTTGTAAGAGGAATACAAATTGGCAAAGCACACCTACACTTACACCTGCAATGATATTGCTGGGAGAAAAGTCGGTGGGTGCTTCAGTTTTTCACATTTACTTTGACTGTGAAACATCAGTCTTTCAGCAATAAGAAAATCCAGGATTGATTTTTTTGGTGACATTTATGAAAATGAGACAAGAGCCTCCCAGATAGATTTTATCTCTCTGTCTTGTCTGTTTGATAGACAAAATTGGTCTGGAAAAAACGGTTCAAATACATTGAAGTGACTGATTACCAAATAAAATGAAATTCTGTTAATTCATTTACTCATTTCAAACCAGTTACTGTAATTTTGTTTTTGGAGGAAAACATGCACAAAGGTTTAGCAGAACATTGACACTTACTCTTTTCCGTTCATTGAAATTGAATGGTGATGGCTGTCAAGCTCCAAAAACAACAAAATACACATACAATCATCTGGTTTGAGGAAAAATACGGAATTGAAACTGAAAATCATCTTCTCTGCTACAGCATTCACTTAAATTTCAGTCTTATCAAACAAAGTTATGTACGACTTCAGAAGAGAATAGGGCTTGCATGCAGTTGTCATGCTACACCAACGGGAAACATCCCTTCGGACGGCCAGGGCGGAGACGACCCCTCGGGCGGCCTCACGGCAGAGGAAAAGACACCGGAACAGACGACACCGGCTCCAACTCAGGAACGAACAGATGACTCCGGATCAGGTTTAATCATGTCATTGAAACCAAACACGAGTGGTTCACCATTCTTGCTCATGGACATAGGATGAATTTTGGTATGACCTGAAATTCAGTATTATCATTTTTTTATTATTAATACAAATGATTACAAGAGTTAGATGACAAAATACAAAACAAAAAACATAATGACAGTGGTCTGTGCATATGCAGCATCATGCTCATGTATTCCCACACACCAATTTTGCACTTAAAACCATTCAATACGACTCCTCCAATGTCAAACTCTTCACATCTTTGAAATCAACTAAGTGTTTGTCTACGTGCGTCATGCATGTTTGTTCGTGATGGACTCATTAGGTACGTCACTGCTCATGTTTTCATTTTGGTCCCCACTCCACCTCAGTGGGCTTACTGTTTAATGAAGTAACCTTTGGGCCATGGTAAAAGGCCAAGAGCCTTTGTAATTATTGTGATTACACTGAGTGGCAATCAGGGGCCAACCTGTCATCTCTCTTCACCTCCACACCATCACCACCGCAGGGGGGATCTCCAGAAGACACGCACACGTGGGTTTGTGTGTGTGTGTGCATGTGCTCGCGAAGTCCGTAAAGAGTTTGTGGAGGCCGCAACATCTGTCAATTTGTACAAGTTGTCAAGATGACAACTACATGCACGTATACTCACACCCAGTATTAATTAGCTCATTTCTCTTGTCACACAGCACTAACTGTGTCACATCCATTTCTATCAGCTCACCCAGCTTGACAGGCAGCAGGATTTACCTATAATAGCTATTTGGGGTACTGACTTATTAGTGTGTTTCATTAGTGACACATGCTGAGTCAAACATCACTGTTAATATTGTTCATTAAGTTATAAAAACACCTCTAAGCTTTAAAGTAATGCAACATTTGAAGGAGACCTATTATGCAAAATTCACTTTTACATGGCATTTGAATGTGATGTACATGGCAGTGTGTGTAAACAACCACCCTATAATGGTAAAAATCCACCCACATTTTTAATGGGATAGTTCACTTTGAAATAAATTGTTGGTATGTTTTAGCAGTATTTACTGTGAACCGTTGCTCCAAGACACTAGTGTGTAAAAGAGCAGAGTGTGCAGCGCATTTATTAAATTAAATCACAGCCCATGTAATTTAATAATCATGCTGAGCCATAATCATGACTTTGGTTTTATTTTGATCATGCTACGATCAGCTAATAAGAACATTCCAACCCCTTACCAATGTTGCAAACACTACCCATGACACCTCAGCAACTGCACAGCAACACCATAGCATTGTGGGAGCAATTTTTACAAGGGCAAGCACCTTGAACACAACTGCCACCCTGAACTCTTTCTTCAGACAATATAAAAAATCTAGTCACTCAGTATGTCTCTATATGTAGAGCAGGGGTAGACACTTTTGAATTAATGAATATTAATGCATTAGAGTGCGGGTTTCTCATTAGCGTGCAGTCAAAGGGGAGAAGGCGCACTCATAAAGGTAATTTAAGGTTATTGAGTTAATTCATCAAGTGTGGTCTTTTACTCAGAGTAGATGCTGTCATTTACGTTGCACTCTTAAGAATGGAGAAGGCAGAGAGGCTTCAGCTTCCTTGATTTTCACTGTTGGGCTTCCTGCAGGTTGGCCATCCAGTGCATGAATCAATTACCTCAACAAAATCAGCCCAAGGCTTACATGTTGGCAAAGTTACACAATCAAACTTTTACAGCTATGTTTAAGTTATATTTACAGCTAATGAAGAATGTTTTACTTCTTTTTAATCTTCTGATTAGCTTATTTTTTATGCATCTCACAGTAGCCTTACATTCTGATGAAATTGAATTTTTAGCAACTTCAAACGTTTCATCATAATATAGCAGAACCTATTTTATGAAAGGCATTTTATTTGAAGTAGACTTGTTTTTCCTTGTCTATTGCAAGGATTTCTAATATAGAGTGTGCAGTTACATGCCATTTACAGCCATTGAGATGAATGGGAATGCTAACAGATAACACTCTCCTGGTGTATTAGACCTCATTGACCTTGCTAAGGTCCATTACCACTCTGAACCTATGTTGCTTTTATAGCAGTTTCTTTTTCACTGGAAAGCAGATTAATCAAAGCCCTGCTCTTAAGGCCAAGTACTAGATGTGTGGACTATTGAACCTCTGGGCTTGTCATGCCAATGGACTCAAATTAAAACTGATATGCACAAATAACAAAAATAATGTATTACATGCAAAGCTAACCGAATACTAACGTTTAGGCATGTTTTTGGATTCTTAAATGTATAAGGTTAATTAATGCAAAGCAGTAACCCATTATGCATTGCCAGGGTGATCCAATGAAAGTGTGCTGCTGAATAATTCCAACCTAATATATATATATATATATATATATATATATAATCAATAAGGTTCGAGAGGCTGTGTGTATCGTGATTAAGTCACGGCTGAAGGGTGTTCTGCCAACCTTTCAGCTGTGACTTATTCACGATACTGCATAGCCTGCTTTTATAAAATGTTTACCATACAATAAAAAAATATGAAAGTAAAAAAGAAATAAGTATTAGTGCAACTTTCATGAAGTAATATCACTAAAATCCTTCCTTTCGGTAGAAAAAAATAGTCCGTGAACAGCAACAATGTTCCATGGAGAAGTGTGTTGAGTTCCTTCTTGGTGATTTGGTATTATGAGTCTTCTCGAATGTACTGTATCAATGTTATATTTCAGCACTTGAGCATAACCCGTTAATATTTGTGTTAGTCTCTCCAAATTTTTCCTTAAACCACTCATCTACTGTCATGCTACCTAGTAAATCAAAATTTACTTAAACATTTTAGCCTTTTACGTTTTACGACTGTAGCCTTTCTTACGTTTTTTCTTGTTTATGTAGCTACGGGTTGTTGCTAAGGGTGTTGCGCAGTGATTAATCGTTGGGTGAAGCCATAGACATATACACTAGACCTTGGATACGGCAGTTCATTGGAACGAATGCGTCAATAGAGCCGCCATCTTGAAACAGGGGAGCCCCTCCACTTTAATGCATCAGCGTCAATGTAGTAGACACAGGTCTAACGCAAATAAAATCACCATAAATCATCATGAATGCGATTGTTCTTGTTTTTTTGGTTTGTTCCAACGGTCAGACATGTATTTATCATTGATTCCAGAAAGAAAAAACATTCTTCCTAGTTCAGATTTCATCCGTGAACTTCATACGCTGCACAAAAGTCCGCCACCATCAATGAATTCGAAGTAAAGGCAGAGATAGCAGCGTTACCTAGCTACTTCCTATGACAAGACCCCTGTTCCAAGATGGCGGCGGTTTTGACGCATGCTTAGAACCCCCAGGTGAGGTCTAGTGTATATGTCTATGGGGTGAAGCAGTCATAGCCATGTTTTGTCATGAATAAACCATAGCTATTGACCAATCAGAATCAAGGATTGGAACAAACTGTTTTATAATAAAAAATAACATGCAGAACATAACATATTTTTAGACAGTTTATATTTTTAATGCTAAGATTTCATCATCAAGGATTCCAGTTTACACATCCATTTGGCTATGAGATTTCCTATGCATGTTAATTTTGATATATTAAAAACAATGTATATTGAAAAATGTAATTGAATGATCTACCATTTGAACACTAAAAATCACATAATTCCTCCAAACTGAGCTTGAGATCCACCTTTTTCCTCTTTTATAGCAGCATAAAACTGTTATGTAACTGTTCATGCTACAAGTATCCATGCTGCAGTAGTTTTTAACCCAAGGGTCACGATCCAAAAATGGGTTGCAGGTCGGTTATAATAGGATCATGGGCAGCAAGGAGGTAAACAATGCTAGATGAAGGCTAAACTGTTTTGCAGGGATCTTAAAAGCATGGAATTGTGTGTTTTGTTTTGGGGTTGTTGTTGTTTTTTTTATTTTGGATTTGGGCTGTGCATGTTCTTGTACAACAATCAGCCAATGAGCACTGTCAAGAAAAACTGAAAAATAACTGTGTCCAGAACTGAGTAACCATTTACTAAAGATGCTAAATATCAAATTGTGCATTCTATAACAAAATAATAAATTATGTAATAAATACTAAGATTATAACCCTGTGGATAACCTTGTGGAGAAACGCTCCTGCAGGAACTCCAGCACTGCACCCACTGGGCAGTTAACTGGATCCAGCCGGTGTTCACCACACCAAAAGGTTTGAAAGGTTGAAAGAAGTGAAAGGTTTCCACTTCAGGGCATATAACTTTCCCGTGGACAGAGCTCTGGAGTGGAGGATGGTCTCAACAACCTCGGTTGAGAGACCCAAACTTATGCGCTGGGCCCTCCAGAATCATACCACTCACCTGACAGAGTAGGTCCCTCCTGATTGGAATCTCCAGAGGAGAGACGTCGAGGAGAGATACTAGGTCTGCAAACCATACTCGGGCCAGCCAGTACGGGGCTACCAACAGTAGACTGACCCCCGTCCCGGCAAACTCCACCTGGTGATCGTGAAGTAAAATTATAGTGCTTTTGGTCATTTAGGACCATGTGGCAGGAATTCAATTTCTTCTACACCTGAGCTTCAAAAGTCAATTTACTCCATTTTTTTCTACTAATTATTGCACCAACAACAGTTTCATTAAGCCTCGGTTATCACAAACTGTCCATTCCACATTTTTTTTTTTTTTGTCAACAAATTCAACAACATGACATTATGACATTCTTCAGCCCTCCATACTGCAATCTGGTGCAATGAATGAAACTCGCATTAAATGCTGAATCGAGTGAAGTTAATGAATCATAACTCTGCTGACAACGGAAAGCTTTTTTCGGCACAACTAAGCAAAAACAAGTCTGAAAAATGCGGTTGGACTCAGCAATTGTCGAGAGTTCTCTAATCCCTGCCGAACATACGCAAGCTGCCGAGTAAACAATTATCGCTGTGCAGTTACGCTCCACTTTACAGTGAGGAGCATTTCATGGGACTCAAGCTACTGTGAACATTACATCTGACACATCGTTTGATCTATAGGAAAACAATCACTTAGAGCAGGTGTATCATGATTCAATCAGTGTCAGTCTTTATTTATTGTATAAGCCCCTATGCCTGTATAATCTGTATGAATCCTATAAACCTGAAGCATACAATGACATTTAACTATAAATAAGTACATGGTGGAATTTAAAGAACCAAATGCCCCATTTTAAGTTTAGCCTAGGCTAATTGCTAAACTTTTAGACACTTGCAAAACCTTACTAATCATAGCTGATGCTAATACATGTAAATATGTGATGATTATGTGCATGATTATGGTGATTACATAGCATTTTAACTAGGGTTGGGTATCGTTTGAATTTGAACGATTCTGATTCCGATTCCTTGTTTCGATTCCGGTTCCTAACGATTCTCGATTCCGATTCTTTTAAGAGGCAGGGTCAAAAAAGTTTAGCTAACCTTGCTAACCAACGGCCTTTCTGAAGGAAATACTCCTTCTGTAAAAATACTCCTTTTGTCACAAATTTTGCATTTTGCAGAGATTTCGTTATTTTTAGAAAAGTGAAGCCACACTTTGGATCGCCGACGTAAGGTACTCATGTTTGACTCGCGTGGTTATACCAACACTTCCGGTAGACGCTTCTTCGTTTATGTATTTCAGCGGTTTCTTCTTCCGCTCGGCGGACTGTGAATATCGAAACTAGGAATCAAAATTTTAACTTTTGAACGATTCCGGGAAAAACGAAAAGTTAGTCCCGGTTCCAATCGATACTCGATTCTCGATACCCAACCCTAATTTTAACACACCCATTTAGCTTTGAAAGACAAATTGGAAAATTTTAAGTAAATTCATGCTGATGACATCACGTACACCATTTAGAATTTCAAAAACAGTTCAACTTTTTTGTTTGTTTGTTCGTTTGTTTGTTTGTTTGTTTGTTTGTTTGTTGAAAATGTGTGGTGGACAGCTACCAGGAGTTTTGATTTAATGGAAAGTATCAAATAATCCTGAACCAACATAAGCCTGAAAAAATATATCAGTTTCCACAAAAATATTAAAAAGCCCCTATCATGGATTTTTGAAAATGACTGTTCATATGATGTGGAATATAGCTCTAAGGGAATGAAAACATCCTGCAAAGATTTATATCTGAAAGTGCACCGTATATAAAGTTCAAAAGTGAGAGTCGACTCTGAGTCTATGAAATGAATTGTTTTTGAAACGATTCATTAGCTGTTATATCGTGACGTAGATACATATTGGCCGCGCCCAGTTACTGCGCGCACAGACGGAAGTGTAAACTTGAAGTCTACACATTCAAATACTTCATCATAGCATCATTTCGAGAAGACGCTGTGTACTACAATGCAAAGATAGTTCAGGCACTTTGTTTTCATTTACCAGGGACGAGCATGTGAAGAATCGGTGGTTAGAGTTCATATTTGCAACGATACCACAACAGTATGTATAGCCCGATTGTGTTCTCATCATTTTATTGACGAATAACGTTAGTTCAAAAACATAAATGAATTCAATTGTGGATTCGCAAGCGGTTGTTCCTGAAGGAGGGCTCAGTAGCTTACTTACCCAGTTATATGGATCAGCTTCCTCCTATGAATCACAACCTGTAAGTATTATTAATAATTGTTGCTTTTATGGGTTTTGAATGGTTTTGTAGCGACGGGGCGCGAGCGGGCACAATAAGTATGTGTGTGCGTGTGCGTGTGTGTGTGTAAGTTACGCTCAGCGCAGCTTCTAGGTCTCCAATGTCAATTTTTTTAAATATGTGAAATGTTTGTCGCTGTTATTGGAGTTGTCATAAAGAATAGAGCGTCTTGTAGTACTAGTGCTTTATTTGCAGGTCTGTCATCTGACCAATCACTGTCGATTAGCGTCACGCAAAGGAGTGGTTTGGAAAAATGAGTCGTGCGAATCATTTGGGAGTCGGTGGGCAAATCAGTTAAAAATAAATGCATATTATAAGACAAATAAAGTGTTTTTTATTGCATGCATGTTAAAGTGTTTTTGGGAACTCCTAAAACAAAACAGGAACATTTCAAATGCTATGAAAGGGGCTCTTTAACCAGCACAACTTAATAATAATAAAAATGTCCCCTTTCGAGGGAACTCGCACTGCAGGATGCTCCCTTAGCGCGCACCTCTGAAGTATGAATGAAACCATTCCAATCCTGATTAATAACACTGACAAACACGCGCATTAACTTTCGCTCTTCAGCAAGCGCTCTCTTTTGTTGTCTGTTCTATTTGGTATTGTTTGTAACACATATATATATACAGTATATATATATATATATATATATATATATACAGGTCCTTCCAGGTCCTTCTATATAATGTAATGATAAAAATTCAACTTTCATATATTTTAGATTCATTGCACACCAACTGAAATATTTTAGGTCTTGTTTTAATACTGATGATTTTGGCATCCAGCTCATGAAAACCCAAAATTCCATGATATGCTCATGCATATCATGAAAAGGTTCTCTAAACGAGCTAATAGCTCTAACCTAATCATCTGAATCAACTAATTAACTCTAAACACCTGCAAAAGATTCCTGAGTCTTTTAAAAACTCACAGCCTGTTTCATTACTTAGTAGCCCCAAAAGAAGTCCCTGATATAACATGTGGATATGTTCAAAGAGGTTGTCTAATCGTAATTTTCAAATGGTTGTCATAAATCAAACGTTTACATGAGATTCTATTTGCGGTGGAGTTTCACACAACAATGGCAAAAATATAAATATAAAAAGGCTTTGGGCTTTAGTGATAAATAGTCACTAAAGTATCTTCACTATCAAATGGATCAGGCCATTAGCTAAAATGTTTGTCTATTTTGTTATTTGGGTCATGCCAAACAGAAGTGCACCATGTACCAGAAAGGCAATAACTTCAGTCATTCAACCTAATATACAATATCTCCCACAAGTTGTAAATTGATGGTCCCATATTTTATTATTTTATTTGCTGCTGAGCACCAGTGAATTTCAAACAAATCATCATTCCTTTCATTTGAAAAAATGTGCCACATAATGTTGATCAGCTTTGGATATGTGACACATCATGCAATCAATCATTTAGCCTGTGCAATGGATCAGCCTAAACATTATCTGAGAGAATCAGAATTGTAATCCATGCAGGTCACAGTGTATTTCCAGGTCTTGAACATACTGCGCACAAGATATTTCAATTCTCTTTTGAAAAATCAAATTTAAGTCATCACGCATATTAGACATGCGTAGAATTGACAATTTTGACCAATACAATAAACTAACAATATTTTAATCTTATGGCAAATAAATGATAAATGACAGAAAAAATACATTATGCTATAATAAATTAGCCTGGTGAACATAAAAGGTGTGTTCGACATAGCTTGCGGCTGGATGCAACCGATCGGCGAGAACAGCCACGTGCAGGCGGGGAGGAGCTGCAAACAGGGACGTGAAGTCGGACAAATTTCTGGTTCCCGTAGTGACCACTCACGTGGTGTTTGCATTCTTTACCACAGCTGAAGTGAAATAAATGCAACATTTGCCAAATAAACAGATATTTCAGACACATTTTCATTCAATACTTTACTGCTTCATACAGCATCTGTTTGAACTAGAATAAAGTTCAAAATAAGCCTATATCAATGAAGTGGAGTCAACGTTTTTTAATCAGTTTTATTTTAATAAACATGATAAACATGACACAACATTGCGACTACATGAAAAGAGTGTTTACTGTTATAAAATACTGATTTGTGAGCTTTAGTGGAACTAAAGGTGTGAGAATAAACACGAAACGCACGTGATCGTTGTCATGCGGTGAATCCGGCGAATCCTGGAACAGCTGTGACATCATCAGAGCTCGTGCAGCCGCTCTTGAGAAACTGCGATGACTGAGTCATCCGGCTACTCTCGTATCGCTCTCGCGGTACTTTGATGGCATACATCACAGTCATGTGGAGTCAGCGCTGCATCAAGTCGGACAACATTTTTAACCGGCATGCACTGTTTCAAGTCAGCCGCCGATCGGTCTGCGCAGAGCTGCATGAAGTCGAACAAGCCTAAAGACTTGGATCCACATATTCATTTTCTCGTATTTGAGGCGTGGTTTACGAATGCCCAGAGCCGTTTATTGGGTGTCTATCAAATGCGCCTGTACGTAGTTCATAGCCAATCGTTTCAATTAAACCAGATGACGTAG